GTGTTCACTGCTCGACTGCACTCACATGACTGAATGTGTAAAGGTAGCCAAGTGAGCTGAAGCGGCTTTGCGCTGCGAGGTCAGCAAAGCAACGATGATGGATGGAATGAACCCGTTCGATGGAAGTGGGCCCGGCGCCGGGGCGGCTATCGGTACACGGAGTCCGAAAGAGGGTCTGAAGAGCGGTGCTCAGGTTGTGACGAGCCCTGCCAATGCTCAGTCTACAGGGCGAGGGTGGGGGCGACTGCTGGGGCAAAAGGAACCTGCTCTCGGCCCGATCCTTTGCTCTGATCTTGAGTGTCGCGCCCCTTTGCGGGTTATGGAAGCGTCTGTAGATGCGGCAATAGCGGGTGCTCGGGCCGTGAGACAAAAGTCAAGATGAAGCTGAGTAGGTTTGAGTGGGAAAGGGAAGGGGGAGCAGAGGATACTCTGGGGGCCGACTTTGGGTAAGCTCCGAGATGAGAAGAGCTTGGTGCAGTGACTCTGGCCAAGCGAGGAGGCCGTCGGTGAATTCGTCGTGATGGATTCCGACCGGGTCGAGTCCGAGAGGGCTGTGGCCGCTGTGCTGAACGATATCCGAAGCTGTGTTGTGTGCGAGTCGACGATCGATCGCGAATAGGAATGAGCACCGAGTAGACGCTTGATGGGTGCACGAATGTATGCGGGTGCAGCTAACGCCTACGCCGTGGCTGGCTACAAGCTGATGTTACGGTGGGCGTGTGAATGTGAATTCGTGAATGTGAATTGCTGTGCCGCGTGTGCCCTCACCTCGACTCACGACTCTGCGCGGCGCGGCGCGTTCGCATGACTTGCATGCAAGCGAGCAAACGCACAGACTCCCGCGACGTTGCGATGCCTCTGTATGGCGTCCAGCAGCAAGCATCATGCAGCTGCCTACCTATAATTGTCGCCTTCGCGCCCTCGTCGTGGGTCACGCAGCACTCGCATGCATATGCCATCATCAGACACTCACGACTCGACTGACTTGACAATCGTGAATCATCAGCGACTCGTGCGCGCGCGCGTGTCTGCTGTGCGCTTACTGTGGTACGCGTACCGCGCCCTTCATATGTGTGCTGCTGCATGGATGCTGCTTTCACTTTGTGTGGTGCATGCATCAGCGGCGTAGGTACACTTACACTTGTACAGCAGT